CTAATTTCCCTCCTAACTCAACAAGTGGCAACCTACCACGACGTCACCCATTTGTTTGTGAACTGCCGTATTGAAGAGTTTTGACGTCGCCATTTTGTTTTCTTTTTCTTTTTTGGAGCCAAAAAATGAGGACGAGTGGGTGGAGCTGGGAAGGATTGATCTGACCTGTGAACCTGAGGTCATTAAGCATGCCCACCTACACCTGACTGCACCTGGAGTCTACGTCCATTTTTATGTACAGTCTATGACTGCACCGCACTACTTGCTGCACCGTGCGAAGCCGCTGTCATCAAAGTTCGCTTCCATAATCTGAGGTAAACTTCATAGCTAAATATTAAAGTAATCTTAATAGCTAATTGCATTTATGCCGACATTTGGCAAGTGGAATATTATTGTTATGTTATTTTAGCTGAAGTTACCATGTGTAAGCTAACGTTAAACTGTTAAACCATTGTGTAAAAAATATTCTGTTTTTAATTGGTTTTGCAGAACATGAACAGACTTCAGAACAGCTTCTTCCTCCAAGCTGTGAGCCTGCTACATGTACACTGTGTCACATACGGTCACACACCAGGACTCATGAATATGATGAATAATGGCTTCTGGACTTAATGCCTATCTTCATTAGGCTACTCATGACCAGCTGCATTATGCATTACAGCAAACATACAGACGGTTGCACTATGCTCACTTTAATTGTAAAGACAGCTTTGGACTGTATTCATAGTTTGCTGCACCAAGTGCTGAAAGCTTTGAAGTATTATGTATATTCTTATTTCTACTGTAATTTCTACTTGTTACTAAAAAATCATGTTGCCGTAGAGATTTAATTACCTCTCTTTAAGAAGCAAACTTGTGACAGTGAAATTCATCTTTACCTTGATCCACAAATGTGTTTTATTTTTTATTTTTGTTACATTTGATTGCAAATTTCTATTTTCTATTTTATTAAATGTTCCTGGCCTTGTACATTGACAATGAAGGATTAAGAGAGAGAGATATTAGAGATTGTGCTTGCTTTCCTTATGTGTACTTCTCAATTTTAATAATACTGAAAACTAATTCACCAAAGTTTCCTATTAGATTCAGAGAGATATGGTAAAGTTGGAAAAACTAGGCAACACTTTTTCTCTGTCATGGTAAATGCACCCAGGACTGTTTAATCATGGTAGGTTTTTCAATTACAGTAAACTATGAATAAAACAAACGTACATGAGCTGTACTGACAACTGCTTTGAAATCTAACTGCTAAATGTGCTAGAGTTAATCCATCACTTAATTCCAGTTTAATATTTATAAATACTGTCTTTAAAAATGTATACCATTACCTATCAACAACAGCAGAAATGAAGTCAAAGACAAGAAATTGAACCTAGTAAAGAAAGAAAGAAATACAGAGCTGGTGTGTTAGAGATCCAGATATTGTTTTAAGGAGCTGGCAAGTTTCAGGAAGTGGGCAGTAGGCAATTGTTTTCCCTCAGCTGTAACATCATTATAAGGCAATATGTTAGGGGTTTGTATCAGTCAGCTTATTTGAGCCTTTATGTTTCCAACCTGCCAAAATTAAACAAATTCTAAAATAAAAATTAAAAACATCACGCTGATCTAAAATTATGTCAATCTGTCTCTTGAATTGAAACACTATCAGACTCTATCTGGTCAGACACCTAAAATAGATCTTTAAAAGATATAACCTGTGATCACTTTTTGATTTCAACATGTCATGTTAAAAGTGGAAGCGTTACTGTATGTTCTGTTCATCAATGGAGCAGAGACTGTGATAAAGATGCCAGTTTATGGTAAATAAACAGCCAGAGAAATACAAATTAACAAATTCAAAAATATTTACTTTAGATATGGAGTTTTTTTAAGTTAGAAAAAGGAAACATGCTGTAAGGTTCTTGTTTAAACTAATAAGGGACTTTAGATCTGTAATGTATTGTTTGCCTTTTTCTCTTCATCACATTAATAATACAAGATTCTTAAATAGTTATTTATACTTATATAATTTGGCGAAATTGAACATATACAGCCATGCGAATAAAGCCCAGACTGACTGAAAGATAAACTAACCTGAAAACAGAGAGAAACGGAGATAGACAGGGAGAGAAAGAGAGAATAGCTCACTTGTGAGCTTGCAGCTAGCCCTTCCTGCCCATTGTGTGTTTGTTTTTGTTGGCCCATACGTGTCAGTGAGTGGCAGTGAATGAGGGACTGACTGAACAGAGACAGACAGAGCTAGAGACAGAGAGATGGGCACCTGAGGCCACTGTGAACATTCATACTGTATGACCAGTCTTATAATCGCATGAGGTAGCAGGCCTGTAGGTCTCCCTTTGAACCACTAACCCCATTCAACAGAGGAAGAGGGAAACATCTCCCCACCCCTTTGTGGTCACCAGCATTTCATTTGCAATCTAAATCTAAAACACAGGGTGCTGGAGAGTCACATCAAAGGGCTTTCTGATAGCTCGGATAGAGCAAAGACTTGAAATAAAATGGCTAATTACGAGTGTTGATTAGTAGGCCATGTAAGCTACAGACTAATTGGATTGCGCAATGTAGTTCTCCTTTTGTTTTCTGTGCATCTTAATGAAGTCTTTTTTTTTCTAGAAAGGCTGAAATGTTGAGACATGCTTTTGTGTTTCCAGGATTAAAAATGGGGGCTTATATAAATATGTACAGTATATCGTACAAACATTCATAGAAGAACCCTCAACTCTATGGTTGTGTTTATTTGATCAAAACGGAGCTATCCACATATTCATAAACACTAGATGTGAAAGCTCTTTTGTGTTAGTAGAACTGTTAGAATTTCCATGTAAATACATTTCAGCTGGGTACAATGGGGTTCTATTTATGTATTCAGTCTCTGTTTTCAGTTTCATCCTGTCAGAGGTCGAATAATGAAGCCTGAAAGAGTTGTAATAATGGAACACATGCAGTTCATTTCCCCTTCCCATGTGTAAATGAAGATTTTAAAGTTAAATCTAATTGCTTGGGCTTCCTAAAAAGCGTTAAAAAAAGCTTTACTGTAACACTATAGGTCAAGTAAACCAGCACAAAACTAAAAAAGCTTATTCTGTCCTGTGTCTTCTGTCTGTATGAAGAAGGGAAGAACAGGTGGGACACCTGCTCTGAAGTGGAGCAGAACGAAAGATGAAATGAGCATGAAACAAGGACCCGCTGACGAAGATGAAGTGATATGACTGGAGGCACCAGAGCAGCAACTAAATGGACCTTTAGGTGAGACTGTTGTGTGAAATGCTGTTTCCAAAGTCAAGAGCAAATTCTAAAGCTTTGCATTTTAAGCCCATGGACAAGAGGTAATTTTTTAAAAGAAAGGAAATTATCTACAACTCATTGACAATCGGGCAAGCTTTGTCTGCTGAAGATCATGCGGTATGATTGAAAGCCCCAGAACAACTACTGAATGGAGCTTGATGTGAGATTGTAAATGTCAGTGGCTACATTACTGCTGTGAAATTTCCAAAAACTTAATATATATATATATATACCACAAGGTATTGAGTTGCAAACCATGTGTTACCATATAACAAATGTATCATCTGGAAAATGAAATCCCTGACACTCACATAACAGTATAATTCTAAACCTAGTGTTTGCTGCTCTGCAGAGATGCAGAGCGATGAAGGTTGATTTTAGACCGATTTTGCTCTCTGCACACAGCCACCCTATTATGTGAAGATGTCAGAAACAGCCACTTGTTGTTACTAAGGAGATCTGTGAGGCTGACTGGGATCTATAGGATGTGGCTAAATGGAAAATCAGGCTTTTTATTGTAAGGAAAAAGATGAAATGAAAGACATTTCTTGCTAACTGATTTTCTAAATGTCTAAATCCATATACATAGGACCATGGTTACGGGTTACTGAAAGGAAGAAAGAATAATAATTGATATGTTCAAATTAATGGTTTGTACTGTTTATTTCCATTTAAAATGAAAATGGGTTCAACGTCTGTACCTTATGATTCCACCATGTATAAAAAGTGTGAGACAGGATGGTGAAACGCACTTGCACATTCACAACAAAAGGGGAAAACGGAGGTAGGGAGGGGAGGGAAGGGAGGGGGGGGGTCGGTGACAAGCTCCAGCGAGGGGAGATTTCAGTGCAGGTGTCCTTGGGTTTTTTTTTTTTTCTGACAGCTCGGAGACAGGACCCGACCGTAAGTAGCCTAAGTCTGTTGAGGAGGAATCACAGCTGATAAAATAATAAATGTTTGATCATCTGCCATGAAATCCGAAAAGAGCAGCGAAGGAAAGATACGCTCGTCTGGATGAGAGACCCCCGCTGGGTGAAGACACGCAGCGTATGTGTTAGCTGAGCCGTGAAAGCTCGCTGCCATTGACTGGAGCTGAGGCTGAAATGGGAGCAAAGCGATGAAAACCGAGCGCAGGGGAGTGAGCATCCTCAAGCAAATGATCACATCACCGATCATTTCGAGGTATTAGACATCGTTTTCAAATTAATAATCCGCGATATTTGCCACTGTCTGGACATTCACAGTCGATACGGCTTGTACGGTGGCATCTATTGTCGCCAGACAAATTCCTTTTTTTTTTTTTTTTCATTGTGCAGATGTGGGCTGCAAGAAGAATAAGGCCTGTTCGGTGGGTGAAACGTTCAGGGACTAATCACCGATCACGATGAACAGTGAATCAGTATTGATAATCTCCACCAATACAGGCTTCTCCTGGATAAGTCTGCTGTACTGTTTCTTCGTGTTATGGATCATATGCCATGTTAGGTGAGGGATGCATGTGAAAATAATGTGAGAGGCATGTTGAATTTTGCACCTGAGATCCACTGAACAAGGAGCACCAGCTACAACAAGCTTATTGTTGTGACACCCTGAAAAGCAAACGAAATCCTGAGCTGGTTTTCTCTCCTGTCATCCTGCTGGTCAGGATGGGACTGACGTGACTCTGCTGGATGTGAGGCGCACATGCCCTCCCTGTCCCTGTTGCTGGACGAACAATGCAAAGCTCTCGGGCGGCCGGTATGGACACAAATTTCACTGATGTTTCCTGGGGGCAGGGTTTCTCTGACTCCAGTCAGGAGCCAGTCTGGTCCTCCACTGCTAACTGCGTGGTGAAGGTGGTGCTCATATCTCTCATTGTGTGTGTGTCCTTGTTTGGGAATGTGGTGGTTCTGCTGGTATTCCAGAGGAAGCCTCAGCTACTTCACGTGGCCAACCGCTTCGTCCTCAACCTGCTCCTCGCAGACCTACTGCAGACCATATTAGTCATGCCCTTTGCCATTGCAGCCACCGTGCCAGGTGTGTGGCCCCTGGATGCCCGACTGTGCCAGGCCCTGGTGGTGCTCATGCACCTTTTTGCATTTGCCGGGGTTAACACCATCATAGTTGTATCTGTGGATCGCTACCTTGCCATCATCCACCCTCTGTCATATCCCACCCGCATGACCCCTCACCTGGGCACCAACCTGATCATCTGCACATGGGTGCTCAGCTTCCTGCAGAGTACACCTCCCCTGTACGGTTGGGGGGCCATTGACTTTGACCGCCATCACAGTGTGTGCTCAGTGGTGTGGTCCTCTAGCTTGTCCTACTCTGCTGTGGTGTCCACCTTTTCTTTCTGGTTGCCTGTGCTCATCATGCTCGGATGTTACTGGATGGTGTTCAGAGCGGCTCGGAGGCAGAACGCTCTCGTGCATCCCATACAGACACAAGCCTACTCCCAGCCCTGTCCACAGGACTTCCAGGGACCCAGCAGTCCGCAGCGGCAGCCCCAGGCCCAGCCGGCCAGTTCACCTGATGGGCCCTACTCAGCCAGAGGATACCCTGTTCGAGTGAGGCACAGACGCTTCCACTACCACTGCAAGGCAGCTCGTGTAGTTTTTGTGATCATGGCTTCATATATCCTCAGCATGGGGCCTTACAGCATACTGAATACTATATCTATGAGCACCAGAGCAGCCATACCCCCGTGGTTGTCCTCCCTTGCCCTTGTGCTCTTTTTTTTACAGTGCTGCCTACACCCCTACATTTATGGTTACATGCACCGTAGTGTGAGGAAGGAATTCCTTGCTTTGCTTTGTGGACTGTTCTGCAAACAGGGCCGTCCAAGCCAGAGCTCAGCTGTAGAGAGCTGCTTCACTACTACAGAGGGACGCTCAGGTGCCCACCCTCACCTGCCCAGCCTGGCTGCTCGAGTCCTCCCTCTGCGGACTTGGGAAGAATGCACAACATCCTCCACTCCCACTTTTGAGAGGAAGTCAAGGGACAGCCGTAAAGAGACCACGTCTACCAGCATCAGCTCTGAGAGGGAGCTCACGGTCCACAGCAAACAAAGCACATAAACTGCCTTGAGGATCCATCACATAGACCACATTTGCTCTTATTTGAGGAGATTGTCATACAGTGTGTTCACACATATGCTAATATGCCTTCTTTACAACAGGGTCATTCATTCTGAAGTTGCATTGTAGTGGCACTTAATCACCAACATAACAATCTTTTACAATTTTTTCATCAGCCTGATTAACTCGAAGTCAGATATATCTCTTTGTAAAAAACTTGGTCCATTTATTGTTGTATTATGAATTTGTAACAGAATCGGCTGTGTGAAAGAAATCTTAGATAATGAGTATCTATTTTCACTAAGTCATATGAAGAAAACAGAAGGTTTTATATGTAAACCACATAAATCAGACTTTGTGCAGTTGTTCTTATGTTTTGTCTCTACAAACCGTCATTACTATTTTATATGAATGCAATTATTGTACAAGCTACTGTTACATAAAACGGGCAAACGGACTAAATTTTAGAGTAAAACCAGAAATTACATTTAATTTGTATTTTGCGTCTTTGCCTGCAAGTCTATTGTCAATGCCACTGGGTTTTTTTTTAATCTAGACTTGCTGTGTAGAGATAGAAATTGCTATGTTGGATCAAAGTGGTTGGTGTCCTGAACACTTTGCTTTAATTATGGGCCATATATGTCTCTGATAAGATATTGATCTGCAGTATATGTGCAACTACTCTATCTCCTTTAAACTTTTTGTGTGTTGTATTTTCTGTGATCCTGCCGGAGGGCAGAGGATGTAGGCTACTGTCCTTGTGTTAGTGCAAGCAAGCTTCGCCTGCATCTAATGAACTCAGGGTTTGCTTGTGGAAAAATACATAGTGCCCGTCTCTGTTCTTGAATCTTGTTGAGCAAGTGAACATAAGTGTGTTTACGTCTTTGTCGCAGTAACTCTTCTTAGTCTTAAAGCGCCTTTTGAGTAAATGAGTAGAATAGTGATTCATGGTGCCTGTTAGTTACAAAACACACAAGGGTTGGTGACTTCCTTTCCCTGATGGGAGGGCCACGCAAACAAGGTTGTCTTAGCCTCTTTGTTTCCTTTAACTCTTGTTCAACTTAGGTGAAATTTAGCATCTTAATTCAGTGCCACTGTATATTTGGACTCAGTATTTGCTGCCTTTGTAATGTCAGCCTCTCTTTGAGGAAGTGCAGTATTTTTGTTAAAAAAAAGTACAGTGTGTACAGAGCAGGGTATGCTCAAAAGATAACTCCTTGCACCAGTTATTTAACATAGACTGCATTATATATAACATATTGATATATAACAGATGTCTCATATTCCACTGTACACATGTAGATTTGTAAAGATACCTCGTGATACAGTATTTTTAATGGAAAAACCTGTCTGCTTAAAGCGACGGAGAGGATGAGTAGTAATCTAAGTGTTATATGGCTGCCATGACTCATTTCATAGAAAGATAATTCATTGAGTTGATTGGGTAGATGATGTGTTGCCAAAGGATGTTATAGATGCATCACAACATGTCATCACAAATATTGTGCATCATTTAGTCTTTTTATATCCTTTAGGGAAAGCGAAAAAATTGTCAGAATGACCCAGGGATGACCCAGGGTGTTCCTGTTTTATTATTAAGAAGATGAAGATGATATTTATATATATATATATAATTATTTATATATTATTATATATTTATATATTATTATAATATATTATTAATTATTATAATTATTATTATATAATTATTATTATTATTATTATTATTATTATTATTAATACTATTATTAGACTGTGATTGAGAAACAATTCACAGTGTATCAGACCTGACTGGAGTAGTATGGATTTGAGCCTTTGTTTATTCAACAGGTCACTGGAGAAATCCATAGTACAGTATTACAACTGACAATCAAACTTGCAAAATAAGTTTGCCAATGTTTCTCTGTAAAGACAAAGGGATACAGTGTGTCATACAATTTATCATCAAAAAAGAGAAAATTACATTTTCAAGTGCTTTAAAACTACATATTTTTGTGATTTCTATTGTGCTTTTGTATTATTTCTGGTTGCATTATTCAACATCTAAAGTTGTCTGTTGTTTAATAAAAGTGAATTATATGTAGTGTTTGTAAAAGTGTTAAATTCAATTTCGCAGGTAGGTTTTCTCATAGCAAGCAAACGCTGGAGACTAAGTTGATCTTAGGTGTGTCAGGGTTTCTCATTGTCCACATCAACTAGTGCCTGGCTTTAGATATGAGCAGGATCTCATGTACTTAGATGGAGTCTATAGAGTCTCTGCATTTCACACCAGACAAAACAACATTCTGTCTAACCTACAGACATCCATGGAACTTTAGAGTAAGAAAATTATAGAAATCAAAGTTATGATAGGATTATCTTTCTTTTTGAACATCACCAGCTTGCCAGGAATGAAATGAAATTTAAACAAAAGCCAGAGGTTCTTAATTCAAGGTTTTGTGTATCTGTGGCAAAGTTCAACATTTTCAAAGTCAGAACAATAAAGTTAGTTAAGTTTACAGAAATTCATGAACATTTTGATGGAAATGTTTAAAATGTGCCAATGCTTGCTCCTGTCCTTATACTGTATATCTAGGGCTCATACCTGTGCAAATACAAAGACTACAATATGTGGATATATGGGCGACTGAAGAGGGAGAATAAGATGTGGCCAAGAATAGCACACTACAGTGCACATTGTCTGCATTAAATCATTAACTGTCAAGAGAATTCTTGCAATTATTATATATACATCCTTACATCTCTGAGTATGCTTATTTGCTGTGTTCTGGTTTCAGCCGACTACACTAAACTATGGGTAGCAGCTGGACACTGCATCTATGGCTTCATGTCCAGACATGAAAAGTAAAGAACAAGGTTGAGTGAATGTTCATCTGTGCATTCTAGTGGCTCAAAGAAAAGAACATGGCCTTCATCTTGGATTAACTGCATTTATTTGTAAAAATGTTATCACCTTGGGTGATGACTCCACACTGCTCGAAGCAAAAGACAGCAGTATTTTATGTAGTTACAGTTCAGCAAACTGCTTATTAAAATCTAAAAGGGTGCATCTCAATGGTGCATATGTATTTAATCAGTAAATTCATGGACAGCGGTATGATCAGCTAGGTGAGGATCTCTCCTGTGGCCAAACATGTTAGGCATGTCACAGAGATCGTCCTTAATGTGCAACACACTGTAGTTGTAGCATATTCTTTGATGATACAGATGTGCTTCTTAACCAAGTGTGACCTTTGTTATTCAAACTTAAGTGTAGCCATCAAATACAAGAAAATGGACATGTATCGTCGTAATGTCAGTGTTTTATATTGTTTCTGAACTACAATACAAGCTGATATTTTAAGGATTTACAGCCCAATCTTTACCTCAACAAGAAAAAGAAAAAAGAATGGAAAGTTTCATAAATGTGACAATCTTTAAGTAGCATTCTCTCACTCGCTCGCTCTGTACAGTATATGTACACAAAGGTTTTCATCATTACAGTATAAGTAATGGATGAAAAATAACATTTAGACATAATATAAAAGAAAAAAAAATACAGAACATTTTACCTTCAGAGACTTAAAAACATTTCAGCTTTTCTTGTTAAACCCACCAAAACAAACTGCTCATTAGATCATTGGAACCCCCACTGATTTTCAAGGCGCCACTCAACATATTACTGGTCAACAGTGAACACAAAATTATATATATTTAAAAAAAAAAAAAAGAGAAAACAATAGCAACATATGTTTAAAGCACAAAAGAGGACGGGCTCTGCTCTTCAGGTCTTTCCATTATAAATGATGGTTTCAATTCAGGTCCATACAGACCACTTTATCACACCGCCAGCACTGAAGAGGCCAGTGCTGCGACAGCAAGGAGTCAGTCTCTCCCTCAGTCCTCTAGTCCACCTTGACCACACTGTAGATCTTATTTACAAACCAGAAGCAGGCAAAGAAGCCAATTGTACCTGAGAAGAAAACATGTGACAGATTAGAGGAATGATTTGATAAATGTTATTAAAAAAAGATAAAAAAATAAAGCAGAAATCAAGAAACGATATGTGGAACTAGCTGCCTTTGGGAATCTGTCTGGTACAAATATGAGTAAAGTGCAAAATTAATGAAAGGCCACATGGTCCTGAACTGAATGTCCTTCAGGAACCATATTCCATCCACTAGAAGCTTGAAAAATAAGTTTTGACAGAGTTGAGACTGCAATCTCCACAACTGTGCAAAAAAACCCAGAACCAACACTTCATTTTGTCAGGGAAGAGAGCATATTTCTCTGAGCTCCACCAATGTTGAGAAGCCAGATTGGTCAAAATCATGGATCATTTCATCTGGGTATAAAAGTCCTATCTGACTGCTCAATGGGGGCCATGCAGCCCAATCCCGAATTAAGTTGTGATCAAAGTTGGGATGAGGTAAAAAAGAAAAAGACAGACAACAAAATAAAAATTTAAAAATGGGAAATGAGAGAGATTAGGATTATTTAGATCAAAACTGGGAGCAAGGAGGGAAACTGATAATCTTTTCCTTGAATCCTTGGATTATTTCTTGGTGATAATCTTTTGACATCTCGTCCCCTTGCTACTTACAGCTCTGTCTTAAGATAGTGTCAAACAGTGCAGCAGTGACAAGCAGGGCTACAGGCTAACTTTTTTTTATCTGGCCTCATGACAGAATAACACCAGAAAGTAAGTCATCATCTGACATCATGGTGAGCCTCATTTCTGGGCGACGTAAAGACTAGGCGTGTATTTGCTGGTTATCTACCCCTGTATAATATCCTCTTTCCACACACATCCCTAGTCTCATCTGAGAGGGTGTGCAAAAGAGCTGGACAGGGTCAGACAGTGCCGTTACCATGTCAACAAATGTCAATCTTTGTGTCTTTTAACATAGAGACGAAACCGGCAACAATGTTCTGGTCATCCTGGTTTTGTGATGACGTGTGTCACGACATACACAGATCTGCACAACCTGAGTCACACAGCTGGATTTTAAGTGCAAGCACAGAAAACTCATCTAGACAGCAGTGGTCAGGAATCCTGAGTGCATATAGACTTATTATCTTCCATGGCAACCAGTGCATGTGGTGCCTGTATCTTTTGATCTACAGAACAAAAAGAACCAAAAAATAAATAAATAAAACAAGGCTCTGGTTTGTCAAATCAAACCATAGATAGTAGAATTGACCCAAATAAGTCTGCAAAACTAGATCTGACCAAGAAGGACTTTGAACATTCTAGTCTCATTTCACAAAGTCTCTCTGATTTTCATTAAACTTCAAACAGATTTAAAAATGACAGTTCAAATGGGACCCTTGCACATAAATGCTCTTTAGCTTCATTTGACATAGTGCTTTTGTACTGCCGGTAGAGAAGTAAGAAGGCAGAGGCTTGGCTTCCGCTAAATGACAAGCAAACAATTGTTGCACAATAGTTTAGTGACTTCTCCCTGGTGGAGTATGTCAAGGAACAGGATAGAGATCCTGAATCTTCATTCTACAGTTGAAGTGGCATTAGCTGGTACTTTGTAACCACTGAGCAAACAATACCATTCATATCTATAAATCTACACACCCCTTTCTGCCTCTGATATACAGGACGCTACTTCCCTGAGCTTCTTCACTGGTCATAAAAAAAAATAACACTGCAGTGAACCAACTTTTTTCAACAATGCATATAATGTATATAGATGATCATTTGTGATTTGTGAGCTCCAAAACAAAAGCAACAAATCACAATATGATATTCAGGTATCATTGCAATGTGTCAAGAGAAGCAGGATACTTTAAGAGCTGACAAGTCACTTAACTCAAAAGCCCCTTTTACACAGCCTGTTAAATGCTGTAATGTTGGACCTTCAATTCACCTCCCCGTTCTATATAACAGGTAAGAACACAGAATGCGGGGGCATTGTAATTCCTCCTTTATCCCAGCAGCGGAGGTAGTCACAGAGCCAAAACGGCGTCTGTGTAAAAGGGAGAGCAAGCATGGCAAGCCAGACGCTGTTGTGTTACAAGTCACGCCTCTGATGCTGGAATGCAGGCATGTTATCTAAAAATCACACACGGGGACGGCGTTTTGCGAGCTTCATTTGCATCAGTGTAAATAAGCAAAGGCAACATAACAAGTGTTCTTCTTAATGTCAGTATAGCAGGATCTCTGTACAAAGAGGGGGGGGGGCTAAAGCCTCACCTGTGAAGAGGAAGAAGATAAGGACCATAATCATAGTATATCCAAAGTAGAGGAAGGTGCTGGCTGCTCCAATTATTTGCAGCTTTGAGAAGAAGTAATGCACAGCGTAGATGAACAGATAGACTGCTGTGAAGCCGCTGGTCAGGAAGGAACGCCACCACCAGTGGTAGTCCTGGACACATGACAAAAGATGACATGTTAGGATTCAGCATATGAGGATGGATCAAATTAAGTCTGGACCAGGAGGGAAAAACAGGCATAAGTAAGCCTCATTGGTGTTGATACAGTCATACGCTATGCAAAAATATTAACAGCTTTCATGTATTTGGCTGTATACAGCTCTACACTCCCGTGCCTGAAAAATGTGGGAATGAAGGTAAGATATGCAGAAAATGTGAAATGATCTTTTCGACTTTGGGTTTACTTTAATGAAATCCATTGTTATAAACTAAAGTTTGATGAAAGAGACAAAGTTCTCTGAATATTCAGGTACCTCAGCACATAGGTGGAAGTAGCAGAGCAGAATTGTGGCCTCAGAGCAGGTGATGAGTAGAATAATGAAAACCAGGAACAGGAACCCGAACATATAGTACATCTGATGAGACCTAAAACACAAACACATACATATGAACTTATAGGAGACAACATTAGACAAAGAGCAACACCCTGCTGTAAAGAGTACCTGTCATTCAGGAGTTCCTGACAATCAGGAAAAACAGCATTCCTTTATTCTTACCAAATGCTGTTGAGAATGAAAAATAGTTGGATGAAGATGCAGCCAAAGGGCAGGATGCCACCCATCACAATACCAGGGATAGGTTTTGTAAAGAAAGACTGCTCAGGAATTTGACGGGGGATCTGGTTTGTTCGCACTGGTTGCTCAATTGCCTGCACAGGTCCAGAAAAAGAGATCAAATGATTATATTTCAAACACAAATACATTTAATCTAAAAATCAATCATTTCAAGATAAACATATTAATAAACTAGGAGGCCTAACTCACAGGTTTCTTGAATCCAAAGTAAGCACCAACAAAGGTAAGGGGCACTGAGATTCCAAACCACAGCGCCAAAATGGCCACCAGAGTGCCAAAGGGGATTGCTGCTGAGGAACCCTCCACCCAAAGGATCAGGTTCATCAGGAAGAAGTCCGCAAACACAATACTAGGGAAAAGATATGAACAAAGGACAATGACACAAAGAAAGATCATGAGAGGGCATATACAGTGCAACATGTCACTCATGCACTCATGGACAGAAATGAAGTACAAAGATGAAACAAACGAACAAAAGCTAAGCAAATGTAGCAAGTGAGCATACCCTGGGCACAAGAGTGCTGTCAGCAAGACGTTTGTCTTCCACTTTTCACCTCCAAAAGCTGAAAATAGAAAAAGAGATGGATGAGAATATCATTATAAAAAGACCACATAGACTGCAACTCTGTCTGTGTCAACTGTTTAGACTGAAATTAACTTTGCAGTCAGGTTTTCACTGGACACTTACTTTTGTAAAGGCGTGCAGACACATAGCCAGCGGGTGTTCCCAGCAGAACCCAGAGGACCACAGCACATGTCATGAGAGCCCCTCTGTTGGCTGGTGACAGGAAACCCAGGCAGGCCAGGACTGCAGTGGACAAACAATTATTAGTTGACTCATTCAGACATACCACCACTACCACTTAACTACTGAAACATCAATGCAAAGACAGCGTTTAATGCCACTCTCCTCTTAGTCTGGTAGTTATCTGCTAACTTCACACGATAAAACCTAATATAGAAAAATATTAAATTGGCTCGAAAATGTATATGCCTCATATGCAAGTCAGTATATTGTAAAGGCTCACACAGATGGATCCTCAAACTTGTTCTGAAGGTGGAAATATTTTTCACTTGAATTATTCTACTAACCGTGATGGCAAAATAAAGATCTGGTGAGCAAATTAAATGTGGTTTGTATTGGGGATCGGAGCTAAGTTTTAACTTGCATTATCTTGCTAGTTTCACATGTCTATTTTAATTTAGTTTTCACATGCAATCTGTTGCAATGTTCAATATACAAAACTGACTGATATCTATTCAGTATCAGCATTTTGGTTATCAATAACAAGGCAGCCTCTTAGTTTATACTGACTGCAAAAATTACTGTAACTGATTGATGTTCTGCTGTTGTGTTTGCAAAAGAAAATGTGACATATTTTCCAATCATTGATAAACTGTATATGTAGAACACAAAGGAAAAGTGGGACTAATTATAGTTCATAAGAATGAATCTCTATTTCAGGGTATGTAACTAACACCTGTATTACATATTAAGCCTTATGTAAAATATTCCTTACAGAGTGTGATGAATGTCATGATGAAGATCTGGGTGCCCTGTCCAAGGAACACAGACAACAACATGCCTTTCCTCGGGGGACGGAAAACATCCCCATGCACCTGCTTCCACCCCGACTCCTCCTGTGCATCCTCCTGAGAAGGGTGGGAGACAGCGATAAAGCAACAGTCACAATCAAGGAATTACTTAACATTTTCAAATAATAAAAGGTTAACCAACCACCAATCAGTGAATACGACCTCATAATCTCACACCTGCCAGCAAAGCAAAATACGGTGAAGACTGAGAAAACTCAATTGACCAAAAGCTGTAAATTTTGGTGTGAAAAACTCCTTATTCATTTCTTAGGTATAAGCCCCTTTCTTGAAAATTGTATGTTTGAAAAAGTATCCACACCCCATTTTGCATGTTGTGCTATGTGGCACACCCAAACACCAGATTTAATAACCACAAATAGTTTTGTTCAAAGCGGTTTTCGATAAGCTTACATAGGGTAGAAGGAATTTTTCCTTGGTCGATGGAAGCTTTATCAAGTCTGCCTGTGAAATGTAACACAATATATATAATTCTGGGTACTGTGCACCTGGTATGTTAGGTGGTATGATAACCAGCAGAATTAAAGCAATAGCCATATAAATGTGAAAAAAATGACCAGTAAGCACTCAGTTAAAGCAAATTAATTCCTCAGCCTCCAATTTAGTGAGTTTCGGGTAAATTCTAATAATTTCATTATCCACTGTGGGGAAAAAATTAGAAGCAAAAAACATTAAATAACCCTTTAAACCCCAATAACATAAACTCAATAATGTATGGTCATCTAGCTAAAGACAAGGCTGTACGCCAAGGTTCCTGGAAAACTGTTTGCTTAAGAATATTAGGTTTTCCACAAAAACGATACACGCTACTTTAATAAAACGAGAGCTAATCAGATTCAATCTGTAACCTTTCTGTTTTTGTTTTCTTTATAACAAATGCATCTACAAGAAGTCTTAATGTGTATGCAACATTCATACACACATCTGGAGCTTAAAAATGTTATTACCTGGTCCACCTGGTTGTATCTAGCAATGTCCTTGTGCAGGGTTCTCAGCATGATCATTGCAACCATGCCAGACAGGAAGAGGACAATGACCAAGGAGTTCATAATACTGGAAAAACACACAAGACATACCATGGCATCAGCTAACAAGCATCAAGAACCACAGAGTTTTAGGGAGAAAGGGTTTCTATGGTGTACAATGTGAAAAATGTCCTCATACCTAAACCACTGGATGTTGGTGTGAGGCATGGAGACCAGGATGTAGTCCCACCTACTGGCCCACTTGATTGAATTGTTTTCCTGTTAAAAGGAAGTAAATGTATTGGTAAAAACACTGAACACAAAATTTAGTTTTTCTCATTCTCATTATTCCTTGGAAATTGTTATGCATTAGTTGCATAAAATTTGTGATATAATTCATTTGGTCCTACAGTTTAGAGGCCTACCTCAAATGTGACAGAGTAGGTGTAAACTACCGAGACATCACTATTAAACTCTCCAGGGACCTCCATCGGGTTGGTTCCATCACAGTTTGGGTTTTTCTCATCTGAATGTTTGATACTGTTGCACACAAAATCATTCAGGTAAGACTATTCAGTCATTCAGTTGCAGCATGTTGAGGTAGATTAGACATGAATCAAAGGATGAAAAAGTGAAATCATATTTACTGTATCTACTATGAACCAACATTTACCTCTTTGGCTCCAGAGTGGCAGCAACCAGCCGAGCCCCTCTCCATCCTTCTGTTTCTCCATTGTGGAAAGTGATCCTGATGTCCACATGGTTGAAGACGTAAAATGTATTCTTCTTGTTGAACTCGGACTGAAAAAAATAAAATTTTTTACTCAATATCAGGTACTCTGATTCTTCTGTGCAATATTTGTAAACAAACATCTATGTGTTGCTAAGTATCTTTTATACTGAAATTGTCTAAATCAAAGAATTTTATAAAATGACTTCCAACTTCACCTTCATACTGCTTACATCAGTTGTATTATTCTGTTAATGTATGGCCCGGTCTGATGTCATGTTTAAGACTTTGCTAAAGGATCAAATACTGTTTGAGACACCTTTGACAGGATCAGAGGATCCTGGGTAACTGAGTATATCAGAATGAGGACCACTTCACTTGTAGATGACCACTTGGGTAATGTTTATCATGTTAAGTGGAGTACAAACTCAAAGACAGAAACTCACATTGATGACACAAGCATCTTTAGGTCTGCCGTCTGGCGTAACGAGGCAGCCAATTGGGAAGCCCGGGTTGCAGTACTTCTGACCATCTTCCACATCATAGCACCATGTCACTGGCATGTTGTCAATGATCCTGAAGAAATAATTCGTTAACCTCAATAACGTTCTTGATCTGTCTTCTGTCAGTGTTGATGTCCATTTGCTGACAATTTTCCTTTACTGCTGTCATCCATCTTTCAAACAAAATGCCCATACTACTAATACTGTAACTCACAAATAAAGAATTTCAGTACAGTGCAGTGCATATTTTACTAACCAGTGGTGTTGATAGTTCAGCTGCATCCCCATCTTGAGAAAATCCAGTTTGGTTGCATCCTCCTGGGTGCCTTTCTTGTAGTTCTTTGTGCACACTGCTTTGCATTTAACATCTTGCTTAAAGTTGAACTGTAAAATACAGATGAGAGTGGTGTTGCATCAAGAGAGTACATAAACAAATTGGGCTGATATGGAATCAAAAATAAGCAACACCATAACCGTCATGCAGGCTTAGATTTACAAGTAACACACACCTTGTATGGTGAAGACTCAATTCTTTCACCAAACAGCACCTGTCCAAGGTTCTCTGAAGGCCTCATTTCCTTGGCATCTTTGCAGAAGTCGAACCTTTAACAAATTCACAAAATGTGAGGATTATAATAAAGCTGGAAAATGTATATACAGCCATTCCAGAAATTGCATCAAGCTAAAACTAAATAATACTTACACGTCATACTCATAAGGCAGGACTGACTCCACTGAGTCTAAGCGATTGACAAACAGCTGAATCACTGTCTGTAAAAAAAAAAAGCAAAAGCACTTTGTTTATCAGTCTATGTTTGTCTCACGAGGTGAATCTACGGGTAAAACCTGCAAAAACCTGTGCTATGAGTGCTGAGAAGTTAACAGGCCAAGAGCTGCCATTATTTGAATCGGTAGTAATGTGCTACTGCCAACGGTCTCATGCTAGGCTGGCGAAAAACCTGACCCATCTGAAAGTATATACGTATATATATTTATATATTCCCTTAGCAATGTCAGCCAGCGCTAAAACAAAAACAATTAAGATATTGGTCAGAGTATTATTCCAGTGTTCCGGCTCCAGGTAATAGCCGGGGCCTACGGAGGGCACTGGTTTGCTAGCAAGATTAAGGAAGATAGCAAATTTATAAATATATATATATATATATATATATATGACAATTACAACTTCAGCAGAATATCCACTACGTTGGATAAGTATTGTGTGTTTCATGATTTCACCATACCTGGCAATCTTCACCACCTTTGCTGTCTTCACAAAAACTCACTGGGGCTAAACCCGGAAGATAAAACGCCGAGCACGAACATAAATACGAGACCAACGAATAAACCAGCACAAAACCGAAGTGTATCCGCCTCTTCATTTTATCACGGACACGGTTCTTCGAAGATTTTATATACGTATGTAAAAGGAGAGTACTGTAGGGGGGAAGGGAATGTTCGCTAGCTTTTAACGGTTGGCTAGGTCCGTCTACTCGGGACGCAGTGGCTAAGCTGACCTGCCAGCATCGGTGACGTCCAACTATATGTCAGCCACAAGATTAACACCGGAAGTTAAAGGTTTCACCTTCGGAATAAAAACGCATTCTATCCTCTAAACTACACACATAACAAAGTAATGCTTATAGCTGTTTCTCTGAACGTATAAATGATTCCAAGGTATATTGTGTAAAAACGTAGATTGTATACACGATTATAAATTATTACATTTTCAAATTTAGCAACATGTACCTTGACAATAGTTTTATTTTGAAAGTTATAAAATCGGATGCCATGTTTTACTCTGACACACTTGACATCATGGAAGTAACACTGACGTTGCTTATCGATACTTCCATAAAGATATTTGTTTTCTTGTAAAAAAAAAAATATATATATATATATATATATATATATATATATATATATTCGTTTACTTGCAAGAACAACTATTTTTACTTAACGCTGCACAAAAGTTAGACAAACAGTTTAACAAATATTAGCACATGAAACATATATAGTGGTAGTTGTAGGAAACAAAAAAATAAAAGAGGGAGGTAATTACTTTGAGATAATATAGGCTAAAGATCCTTGTAAAAGGCGACTGAACAGGTTGGAAAACAGGAACGGCAACATCCGCAGTTGCATGCAAATATGTGGGTGCACCTTGGGCATTCTGAAGTGAAAAGAAGTACTGGTGTATTCTTGCAAAGCTACTTGAGCACCCACACAGCCTGTTTGTGGATCATCTCATTACAACCTCTGTTCCCCCAAAGGGCATGGTAAAAACAAAGGAAGGTGGAATCTGAACTGGTGATTGTAAAGTCAGGGTGGATGTCTTTTAAATAAAAATGATTTAAAAAAAAAAATTTTTTTTAAAGACATACTGATATAATCCTGGTATCTGCCCTGTGGAGGGCAGCATTATACCAAATCTTAATTCAGGAGAAGGAAGTAAGTGTGACCAGATTTATTGTCTTAAGTTTAAAAATCCTATAAAATGTATTGGCAGAAAGGCGTTTTTTTTTTTTTTACATAAACATAACATAACAATGTTGATGTGAATCCCTTTTAAAGATTTGTGACCAAGATGGATACTGACATTAAACATTGAAAAACAACTTTTCAGTGTTCTGTGAATTACAGACTATGGAGAAACTGTGTGTCAATACTTCAAACCCAGTTTGGTATTTCAGTACTGCAATTTTGTGTTACTTATTTGCCAACATTTACACGGATATGTCTGCAATAAGTTAATATCAACCTGATCAATTTATCTATCTAAAGCTGGTTTATTTATTTTCAAGTAGGCTACTCTACTTGAATACAGTTTTGAGGTACACATAGGCAACTTCACTAGTAGGGGTTAATGCTTCAGTATATATTCCACTTCATTACAGTTGAGTGTTTATATTGTATTTTTGACTCCACTACATTTTGCTGAAAATAAAAATCACTGTTTAACCTTTAACTATTGTTAAAGATTAACTACCCAACAGAAGTAGTTAATATCAGCTCCACCTTGACTATCCATATCAAAATGCTTCTTACATGTTAATGCTTCAGTAGCTTGATAATCCAAAATATGTCTTCCACATGTTTGCTAATAAAAACAATGTTACATTCACCAAACTGATAACATACATATCACCCCATTGGGTATGCTCTCACAGTTGCTTGATACTGTGCAATCCATGAAAAAATGAAAATTTAGGTATGGTAGAATCTGTACCAAGAAAGAATATATCGCCTGAACAGGTCAAACAACCTAACTGAGATTAAGAACCTGATTTCTAAATAATTGATTAAATCGATGTAATGAAATCTTTACTTTTGCAACATCACAATTAGTTTAGAGTTGTGAAATGAACTGACTTTTCAGTGAAGTAGGAGACATACTATGTCCAGCAATTAAACTTTTAAAAAGGAAATATTCATAGATTCTGGAGTAGACATAATTTTAGTAAATTTACCAGGTAATTGAACTTGTTGTGGAATAAACACATCAAACAATACCAAATAATACCCGTTTAAAGCTGAGTATTTTTACATGTCTTATAAGATGTCTGGATGGGATCTTGAAGTAAAGGAACGTTTGAATTGGTTAATGCTACAGTCCAAAACTGTAGAGAATAAAATCATCTTTATTCGCGGTTTTGGACTGTAGGTGGCAGTGTTACACTGTGAAGCATCTCTGGTCTACCGGAAGCAGAACGGAAGAAGAAGGAGGAGAGGGGCGGGAGAGCAGCCGTTATTCACTGTATTTACCTTAAGTGGCGGCGTAGTGCAGTTAGGTAGCCGCTAACTGCTTGCATTTATACTTAGAATAAATTGCATTGTAGTGTTGTTATTTGTGTTTTAAAAGTAGCGTTAGCAACATTAGTAAAACTCAATTGTTTCATTAGTAGCTGGAATACTTGCTAGCTAGCGTTAGCCAAGTAACTAACTACAACCGCTGGCACGTTTATCGCCATTTTGCGCATTCAACAGTCCAAGACTTTCGCCAGCAGTAAGGTAATAGCCACAGAAATGTCTGGATGCCAAGGACAAATACAATGTTGTGTGCTTGTTTTCAGTGCTCAAATCCCAGCTACTTTATACGTCCCTCCTTTTGTTGCAGGTGGTGGATTTTGCAGAATGGCAGAGGCAGACCGACCAGGGAAGCTCTTCATCGGTGGACTGAACACGGAGACCACCGAGAAGGCCCTGGAGCAGTACTTCAGCAAATATGGCAGGATTGTAGAAGGTGTGAATTCGGCCGCTGTTGGCCATTTCATTCTCAGTTCTTACCGTAGTTAAGTCTGGATAAGATATTGAGTGTTATAAATGCAACACTGCTTGAGGTATTTGGCAAGTTGCTCAATTTTTGCTGATCCACTATTTGAATGTGTGGCCCAACTTGGCTGTAATTGTAAAGGTACCCAATGTCTGGTTCAGTGAGTTTCATTGGAGCACAATTAGCTAATTTTTGACTTGATTTCAAATGATTGATTACAATAACATTAAAATTGAGTCTGGAAAGAGGAAAGAAGTAAACCTCTGAACCATGAATGGAAGGGTTAGTTAAAACGGAAAAGGACGAGTCTTTTAGTGACAGATAGTAAAAAGGGGGTATTAATAAGAGCATGTCTGTACAACTTAAATTGTTGTAGAATATGTAATTGTTGTACCATTGTCAGACAATAATGTAATCAGCATAAACTATTAGTCACAGTGCAGACACTCTCCTCACTCCTAATTTCTTCATTTCAGTCCTCTTGATGAAGGACCGCGAAACAAACAAATCAAGAGGATTTGCGTTTGTTACTTTTGAAAGTCCAGCTGATGCAAAGGATGCAGCACGTGAGATGAATGGAAAGGTAGGTACCGTCTTTTAATCAGCCACAGTCTTCCAAGAGATCTCCTTGAGATGATATAATTTTTAATTCTTCTACCACAGTCTCTTGATGGCAAGCCTATCAAAGTGGAGCAAGCTACAAAGCCTCAGTTTGAGAGTGGTGGCAGACGAGGACCTCCACCCATGCACTCTCGCAGTCGGGGTCCACCTAGAGGCCCCCGTGGTTCTAGGGGAGGCCCTGGTGGTATGAGGGGCCCGCCATCCAGAGGTATTTTTTTTTTTTGGTTAATTTTATCATATTTATGCAAAATTATAGTACATGTATAAGAGTAAAACAATGTCATTAAATGTATTTTTTTCATAATACTTATTTTTGAGCTTGGTGTATTAATATTTTCATTTCTTGTCTGTGAAAAGACTATTATGATAATTCAGGGAGTGCAGAAACCTTCTTCAAAGGGATGTCATCCAGAGGCCCCCCTCCGATGAAGAGAGGACCCCCAGTACGTAATGGAGGCCCCCCACCCAAGAGGTCTGCCCCATCCGGTCCCATGAGCAGACGTAAGTGTGAGGAAATTCTGTTGATTCTTATCTCAATTCAAATGCACCCAGATTTGATAGTGTCAAAACTTCCCTTATCATCAAGCTCTCCTGCAAGGACCTAAATGGGTTGCTTGTATCTTAGGGTTGTGTGGTGATTAATGAGCCAGTTTGTCATTGCTTTGTATATAGCACCCATGTCAAGGGACAGGGATCCCTATGGTCCGCCCCCTCCTCGCAGAGACTCCATGATGTCCAGGAGGGATGATTATCCATCACCACGAGATGATCATTACAACTCAAAAGACAGGTGGGGCATTTTTTATTTGGTTACATTAGACAGTCATGTGAAACTATTTGAAAAATTTTTTGCATTTGATGAGATTAAAAATATATATATATATTTGTTTTTGAAATGTCTACTGCACACTCCACTTACAATTTATAAATTACTTTAATGTAATTATAAAAAAGTTCACTGCTACTGCATAGACCTTGGGCTCAAAAAAATCAGTCATCTGAAATTTGATATATTCTAATTTTGATAATAATCTTAATTTTGTTGTCAGCTACCCAATGAAATATTTATATTTAATTGGTTACAGCTCTGCAGTTAATTTTGGTATGTTTCACAGCTACTCCAGTCGGGATTATAATTCCAGAGATTCAAGGGACTATGGTCCTCCTCCCAGAGATTACTCATACAGAGAGTACTCCAATTCCAGTTCCAGAGATGACTACGGCTCAATGTCAAGAGGATACAGGTACGTGTCTAAGTTGATACAAAAAGTAAAAAAAAAACTGGATCATATCATACCTGGATATCTAATAACAATTTTTCCTATAATGTAGTGATCGCGATGGTTATGGGGGAGGCCGGGAACCTAGAAGCTATATGGACCGTCCGAGTGGTGGCTCCTACCGAGATTCATATGATGGTTATGGTAAGATATGACTCCATGAGTGTAATAAACTAAAGATAACCACTGTGGCACGAAGAAGAGCTGCACAAATAACCAACCAAATCATAGCATTGATTGCCGCAATCTACAGTCACAAGAAGCTGCAGTTTCTCCCATCCCCAGTGGAAATGGCATTGCAGACAGCCTCTTTAAACTTTTTTCCTCTCCCTTTGCTGCATTCCTGGCCTGCAATCCTAATTTTCATATTTTCATGCTCCAAGAAATATATAACTATTGGCATCTCAACTTCAAAACAAAATTATATTCAACACCTGTGTCCATACCACAGTCCCTATTACCGCGGCATTCATCAAAAGAATCAGTATTTGTGGCAATCATGCAGCAATAACGCAGAATCTTAAAGTGCCCCAGAGAGTTTGCAACCATAAGGAACCCCAAAATGTCCATGGAAACATCTGTTGACCACTCAGTATGTGTTGGCTAGCAAAGCTCTCCCTCAAGGAGTAACCTTCACAAAACCATCAAGACAACTCTGAAAACCTCGTCCTTAACCTGCAGTTCTAACTCTTGGATCTCTAAAAGGAAAATGGCTTCTCAAATCAATGGCATGCTGAAATGGGTAACACTGCCCATTTATTCCCTGTGCTTGGATATATTACTGCCCATATCAACTAAATATCCATGTTAAATTTAAGACCAATAACATGATGGGACATTTATATATGTCATCCATTAAATTTATTTGTCACAGAATGAATTCTATTGGCAAAAAATGAGCACTTGACAGTGCAAGAAAATGTTTAAAATTAAACCTTGCCAATTACCTGACCCATTGACCCTGCAGGTAACTCTCGCAGCGCCCCACCCTCACGGGGCCCCCCACCATCCTATGGTGGAAGCAGTGGAAGCAGTCGTTACGATGACTATGGCAGCAGTTCCCGGGATGGCTATGGCAGTCGTGACAGTTACCCCAGCAGTCGGAGTGACCCATATCCACCTAGCCGTGGTGAGCGAATGGGCAGGCAGGAGAGGGGCCCAGCTCCCCCTGTTGAGAGAGGCTACCCTCCTCGTGATTCGTACAGCAGCTCAAGTCGTGGAGGGCCACGTGGTGGCCGTGGTGGCAATCGAGCCGATAGAGGAATGGCTCGCAGCAGATACTGAACTGGACTTGGAAATCACATTCAAGCAAACGTTAGTCTCCGTGCACACAACACGTGTTTTGGAAGAAATCTGACGACAAGACAATTTAGCCATGTCTAAATCTGTGGAATATGAAGCTTAGCTTTGAATTGTATCTTGACTTTCCCAGTTTTTTATGTGTAAAAGTTTTTTTGTTTTTTGTTTTTTTTAGTATTTCTCTTGCTCATGTAACAGTACAGTTACCAAGTGAGTGTTAGTTTTTGTACATTCAGTGCTGTTGGAATCTGCAATGCCCTATAAGTCTGGCTTTCCTACTCTAATAAAGCTTTTAGTTGTACTTGACCACTGCTCATCGATTTTCCAAGCAAGATCAGCGACAGTAAGATGAATGTTAAGTAACAACATGATCTCCTTTACAAAGCTGTCTGTAAAACTTGGGTGAATCTCTGCTCGTGCTATATAAATAGCCGAGTGACTTGAGTTCATTCTTGTGTTAAGAATGAAGAATGTACTTCCAACTGGACGCTACTGTTTTGAAGGGTCAGGCAAATGTTACTGTCAAAATGTTCCAATGTAGTTTCCTTGGCAATGGATCCATCACCCTAGAGCCATTTGATGGCATGCAACGACAAAACCAAAGGCAACAACAACCAAATGCAACTCGACCGATAGTCAACAGCTGGTAAGCAAAGCAAACCTCTTTGTTTCTCATCTGTAAATGAGTTTCTCATTGTCCTGTATTGCAATCTCCACTCAAAAGGGTGATATTCAAGACAACTTTTGCCTCAGGGGACAAAAGAAAAAAAAAAGGAGGTCGACTGAGCGAGCCTTTTTCATTGTAGTTCGTTTTCAGCAGCTAAAATTGTCAAAAGTGCGCAACATCCCAAGACATTTCATCCCTTTTCAACAATGAAAGCTTTAACGGCCATTTTGCCTACTGAGCCCTCAAAACAATGCCCTTTTTTGCCTAACCAATCATCCAACCTCAATAAAATGATTGGCAACCGTGCATTATTTAAATCATAGGTAAAAATGTCTAATAATTTGTAAGAAGTGTTTTTGGTAAAAATTAAGAGCCATTTTTTTTAATTGAAAGCCATTTTCTCAGTATCAAAACCTTTTCAACAAGCATGCCAATTCAAACAATGGAGACCTCTGGGAGAACACCATCGTCCTAACTGCCAAACTGGAAACAATCACTGAAGCAATTTCGCTGTCGGACCAAGGACTACAATATCATTTTCAGATATTTTATGAATACATGATTAAAATGAGGGCAACTTGTTAATTTTATATTCCAATTGCAGGATGAACATCCCTCCAAGGCAACTGCCCTTGCAACATACCTGAATTGTGTCGTCAAGTTGTTGGACCAATGAAACCACACTGCACCAATGCAGGTATGCCAACTAGAGTAATTATTTCTTAACTATCTGTACTTTTTGAAAAATCAAAGAAGTGTATGACTGAAAGGTATCATGACCTAAGTTTTATAATTTTATAATGAATACAATAAAGTGTTTGCAAATGTGATTTTTGAATACAAGATGTTAAAAGTAGCCACTGTGATTGTGGTATATTTGAGTTTATTACTGCAAAATTAAACTGTTGATGTGTAATCAGTTGTTTTTCATGTTTACTGTATTTCAGATGCTGGCACAGGAGAGTGCAGGTTGAATCTCTTCAAGTGGAGCAACATGTTGAAAGTGGGAAGAACACAAGCTGAGAATTTGCTTGAAATCAGTTTTTGGTGTTTTCAATAAAGACTTTAAAAAGAGCTTTGTTCATTCTTAGTATTGTCTTAACATGAAAGAAGAATGCAAAGAGCACAATTCTCTACAAAGGTATTTTAGATGTTAGTGTAGTTATCTTTTTAAATGGAGCTGAGATATCTGTGGTATCTGGTTGATGTTTGTTAACGGTGTCTTTATAAACTCAATTGTTATAGAGCTTTTGTACCATTACCAAAGCTCTATAACAATTGAGTTTATAAAGACAGAAGATAAGCATTTAACACAACTTTTTATTTTTTTAGAGCTATTGAGGCAATCGCATGATTTCTTCCTGCAAATATTCAGTCAACATACATTATTCATGGGTGGACATTGCAATAGTCATATAGCTTGTATTGCTGTGTCAAACTTCAGCATGACCCATTTTGCATCAGAATTTTAAATGTCACTAGATGGTATGGATGGAATGTCAATAATGACTACATATCGGGCCTGCTGGTCACATAACCGGAGTCATTCCTACAGTAGCAGTAGGTGTTTCCTGATCCTTGTTGCATTTTAACTTGTAACATAATATTAGAGAAAGTGCCCTCAGTCAGCATGTGCCACTTTGCAGAGGAAAAAGACTGCTGTCTATTGTTAAGGTGCTTGTTTGCCAGTAGGGGTGATCATCAGTTTTGTGTGTAGAAACAGCGTCGTCCTTCCCCCACCGCCTCTTTTTTTTTTTTTTTTTTTTTTTTTTAACTTGTAGCAGAAGTGCGGATGTGAGTTGCATATTGATACGGAACAGGCCGCCAGTTTTTTTTTATAGCAATGCGTGCTTAGGCAATGATCATTTTGTGGAGCTATGAATCCAGAGGAGCAGACTGTAACGTGGTTAATATCACTAGGAGTGCTCAGCTCGCCTAAAAAGAATATAGCGGACCCGGAGGAGTTTTTGAAAACATCGTTGAAGGATGGGGTCGTCCTGTGCAAGCTTGCTGAGCGGCTCATACCTGGCTTCGCTCCCAAGGTGAGTTGTTGATTTAAGTTAACTTAAGTCAACAAATGATCGATGGCTCTTGTTGAACGGAAGGGAGGGGTTTGTTGAACGTGATACCGACTACAACTTCTCTCCCTACACCAGGCCTTTCATTTTTGTAGCTTACGGCACCCGAGTCGTTAACTTTTGATGTTTTAGTTTTGTATCAATCTTGTGCATCGAATTACAGCTGCATTCGGCGAGTTTTCAGATGTGAGATTTCAAGATGCGGTTTCCTGTGAAGCGAAGAAAATGTTCCGCATTCTTGACAGGAGTCAGTCGGTGTGAACACCCTCCAAAACAGGACAAATTCGGCAGCAGGAGTGCATGAAACATTGACCACAGGCCACACAGGGGAGATAAGTGGAGCAGGGGATGTCATTGCACTCACAGTTTTTCAACAACTTTTTTTTTTTTTTAAACGTGGTTAATGTAATTGTCGTGAATCACATATGTTTCGTTGTCGAGATGACAAAAGTTGATATAGATAAATAACAGTTGCAAAGATAGTTCGTCACTTCCTCCTGAAAGGCTCTTCCCAGTGCGACCTCCTCCTTCGAAAAGCTGCGTCAATGTAATTGGAAACAGCTACAATAAAACCGGAAGTAGTAACTTCTCTCTTTAGACATTTACTTTTCTGTGTAGTTTGTCGCTCTTCCTGTTTGGTTCTCCTACACTGCTGTTTAAAGAACAGTTCGGGATTTAATTACAAGCAGCGAAAAGTCAAACTTGTCTTTTGCGTTAAATTTTGACCGTTAAAACGCCGCTGTTCACAAAGATTTTATTTTGAAAGTTTAAAAAAAAGTGAGCGGATGTTTTGCTTACAGTGGTAACTTTGACATTTCTGTGGTGTTAATGGTTATGTGTGCATGAAGGAGACGCAGGAGGAATCCACAGTTATTTTGTGAACTGTAGGTTACCGCATTCGGGTCACTACAACAGTGTTTTTTTTAGCTTTTGTGTGTAACTGAAATGACAGTAGCGTCGGCATGGAGCTTTAGCCAAGAGCTTGTGTCAGATGTCTATCTTGCATAGTACTAAACCGAGGTATTTGTTTATATATTTATTTCGTGTGTGTGTGTGTGTGTGTGTGTGCTCAGTATTGCCAGGATCCGAGAACTGAAGCCGACTGCATTTCCAACATCAGGGAGTTTTTAAGAGGATGCTCGTCCTTGAAAGTGGAGGTAAGTTGACTCAGTGTTGTCTGTCAAGTTTCATGCACAAACCTACGATATTTTGACATGGGCTGATCTCTCTCTACCATTATCTCCTTACTTAGCCCTCTTGGCCCATTGCAGTTTACAGAGGAGACTTAAACACACTCTTGCTTGTGTTGTGATCTGCTTACCCTGCTGGCATATGTTTTCTTCACACGTCCATGTGGAGTGAGCCACATTAACAGGCATGCTGTCAGTCACTCACACTGACCAGGTCGGAGGGGAACTGTTGGCCTGTGTGACAAGTGCCTCTGTTCTCAAATAGAACAACTTAGGTTTCAACAGTCTTTACTTCCTTGTTAATTCCCTTTCTCTTTTATGCTGCAGTGACTTGATTTTTTGTTTGCCCCCTAGGCACACACTGCAGACCTGCATGGCTAAAAAGATGTCCTAATATTGGAAAGGGTCAAATCATTTGCAGATGTTGGGAGTTTTCTCTTTCTCTGTACCAGCCTGTTTGTGACTGCCACACTGAACAGTAATGTCTCCTCTGGCTTTATAAATAGTCTTTTCTGGGCTTGAATCACATCAGTTGGTTTCTTTAAACAACTAATTGAGTCAGCAAGCCTGGCTCACTGCAAAGTCAAGTGGTTCAGTAGGTCTGCCCAGCTGGCTTGTTATGTCTGGGAGGTCCCCTTTGCTTTTATCCATCAGCCCTGCTTTAGCCCATAATTAGACCTTTTGCGGCCAGCCAGTAGCTCATGGGCAGAGGTTTTTGCAGAGCCACTGTCAAATGTATCAGCCAGGGGATGTCTGTGGTGCCACAGCGAGCCCTGCCCATCCTTTGGTCAGTGATGTGATCATGGTTAGAGAACTTTTTCTTTCTGTTTTTACCATAGCAAAGTAGTGCCCGCTTGTCCTGTGACTGCATAAAGAGAGCAGTCACACTGCTTTCACTTCTGCCCCGAGGTGCAGAAAGAGGAAGCGTCAATTACTGCACAATGCCTCAGATTTTTTGCTGTGTTATGATCTGCATGTGATCATTTATTTGCTCTGATACTACTACAGTCATCAGAGCAACATGTGTTCTTAACATGACTCATTGAAACTACTCACCCTAACCATTGTCAAGGTCTCAGCACTGGCAACAGTTATTAATGATCAAAGTCAATACAGTGATGTAAGACCCATTTGGTCTTTCATTTTGTTTCATCAGTGCAAATGGATTTTTCCAGTCTTTTAGTACCAGCAGTGCAAAATCATTATGCATAAAGCTAACATTGTATACTCACTTTTTTTTTTTTTTTTTTACATAATGAAAAGCAAGCTGCGTAAATTTTGGTAATCAAGTCGAACCTATAGCTGATCCCATACCTAGAGATGTAATGGTCACACTTGCTTTAGCTCTGAATGAGGTCACACACAACCCAT